AGTATAAGAAGTGGATAGATCAGAAAATTTCCAAACTAAAACTTGCAGGGACCCACGCCAAAACTATGTACTTTGGGGAGGTAAGTTGGGGTATCAAATATGCAAAAGCAGAACATTTTGACATCCGCCCTCACTCCTTACCAGCCCACATTCAGCTGATTAAGGGCTTCCATCTACTTTTGTTCACCAGTTTCCCCAGTAGGTAGAGCACTGCCTCCTACATAGTAGATGCTTGAGAAATATTTATTGAGTGAATGGATAGATGTGTGAGAGGACAAAGACCCCAGTCAACTGACACAAGATGTGAATGCTACTTCCTAATCATGTGAGTCTTCAGAAACCTTATCAAATTGGAGCATATAAATTCACACAACCATCCAAGGTGGAATTCAGAACAATGAGAAGACTGACACAGTAGCACAACCTATCTCTGGGTTAACAGTGACTGAAAAATGGGCATGAACCCTCTCATGCAGCAGATCCAGTGGAATAAACAACCTCCACAATCAGACATGCTACCCACTTAGCTCTGAGCCAAAATTATCTTTTAAACCTAAAAATCTCTCCGCCCCCCACCAACATACATTTCAGATCCCAGCTCTGAGAATGACTAGAAATGCATATTCTGAGCACTCTCAACCAAATATCTAAGATGCCATTTGATTAGAAATTAAAAAGCCTGGGGGCACCTGGGTGGCTCAGTGGGTTAAGCCTCTGCCTTCAACTCGGGTCATGATCTCAGGGTCCTGGGATCGAGCCCCATATCAGGCTCTCTGCTCAGTGGGGAGCCTGCTTCCCCCTCTCTCTGCCTGCCTCTCTGCCTACTTGTGATCTCTCTCTCTCTGTGTCAAATAAATAAATAAAATCTTTAAAAAAAAAGAAAGAAATTAAAAATCCTATCCCCAACCTAATTAATACATATTATGTATGAAGTCCCCATTCACTTGTTTTTTAATCGGTTTCCTTGCAAAAACAAGCAATGCAAATGTGCATAAAGTTAAAAGGAGTGTGTATACATAAATGCCTATTTACGTAAACTGTTCTGAAGGATACTCGAGAAACTTAGGAGGTTCCCTCCAGGTATGTGAACAGGGACATCACAGTGAGAGAGGCATACTTTTCACTGACTACTCAAGCAGCTTCTATTTTGTCCATGTATACGTATTATGTATATGTAGTATATGTACTACTTTTTTTTAAATTGTCAAAAAAATAAATCTTCACCACCACCCCATATGTGCTTTGATATCCCAGAAATTAAGGTTTGACGTGTATCCTTTCAAATACCCATCCTTTCTTCCACAGATTTTCTGGCCCAAGGGTGTGTCTGTCTACATGGTATTATGGAATAAACTACTTAAAATTACCTGGTCATTGTACTAAGTCTCTCTGTTCTTTGTCCTCAGAGCTGAGTAACAGAACAGTGACCCAAACAGGTAGCCAGTGATTCTGCCAGAGCAGTTTTTGCCAGGTTGCATGTTGTGCCCACTGCAACTAACATCTTACCTCCCCACACAAGCCATGGGTCTAGACCACTGCCTCTATCCCAGTCCCCATCAGGTTTATAAAGTATTTTCTATATTCAATTTTTTTGTTTAGCAAGGATCCCCACAGTTCCTTCAGCCTTTTATCTACATGCATATTCTATAGCATCCAGCTCTGCGAGTATGCAGAGAGGCTGGGCCATCTTCTCCTGGTAATAAAAGCAACATCTGTCTGGTTCTCCTTTAATCAGGACCCAGCAAAACCTGGAGCGTGTTGAAGGTGGGACGAGGCAGCGCTACCGTTTTTATCCACAAACCACTCTAGACGCTGGACCTTATACAGTTTCCCTGCTTTGGGCCTACGACCTTTCCAAGTATTGATAAAACACTGAGTGGTCCCCAAAAAAAAAAAAAAAAACCAGATATATATATATATGCATGCCCGCCTTGGCATCAAGGAGCAAAAATGCAAAATTAAATTACTAAATATTTATCTCAAGGTCTACAAAACCTAACACATCAACTTGGCGACAACTCATGTCTTCCAGAGTCACCTACCAGTTATGTTTACCATGGAGCATGGTGCATTTTAGTGATCGATTTTGCGTGGGGTTAGGCCTCCCGTACTGGGCATCTACCGGGCCCTTGGGTGATTCCGGCGGGAGGTGACTCCCGCGCGCAGAGCTCTGCGGGGGAGGGCAGAGGCTGCATACAGTGGTCTCCACCACCCCGGCCTCCATTAAGGACTCCAACCCAGAGTCCCCTCGCCCAGTCAGAGCATCCAGATCTCAAGTCCAAGTAGACTCCGCTTCCCCACCCCCCGCCATGTTCTGGCGAACTGCTGAACGCCCCCAACCCAACCTCGGGACCAGCTGTCTCCCGAAGCTGGTCTGGCCCTACTTGCCGCGGACTTAACTCAGTGTACGGGGTCCAACACGTAACTCTAGCCTGAAAGCTACGGACAACCTCCTTGCCTCCTTCAAGGAGAGGACAGCAATTGCAGGCGCAACAGCCAATGGGAAGCCCTGGGGGTGGCCCTCCTGTTTGATTAGCCAATGGAAGCGGAGGAGCTGGCCAAACCCAGTGGGGAGTTGAGAAAGGCGGGACTTCCGCAGAAGAGGCTAATGAAGAGCTCCGGAAAGTTAGTGCTCAAACAACCTTTTGGTGGCGGACTGACGGAGATGGTAAGCGTCTTTATGAGAAGCAAAACCTGTTTCAACCTTCCCAGCGTTCCCCAGGTTTTAAGAAAAGATCCTGCCAACTCTCCTCTCCCACCTGGAAGCAAAATAGTCTGGGCCCTCTTGAAAACTAAGTAATTCTTTCTCAGTACTGCCTGGCGTGGGCTCCCACTGGGCAGGCTCTCTATTCTGTTAAAGCATTTGATGCAGGGCTCTAAATAAAACACTAGAAAATTAAGTTCAGGATTAAAGTAAGAGAGTAATGCACAATTACAGGGATCAATCAGATCTTTAGAAAAACAATGGCAGTTGATAAAATTTAACCTCAATTACCAAGTTTAAAAAAAAAATGAAATTCTCAGTAAACTAGGAATTCAAGGAACAATTTGACAGACTCAGAAAACCACAGAGAATCTCACACTGTGTGAAATTCCTATGAAAGTCAAGATGGATACAAATACAGTTGTCCCCTTTTATCCAGGAGGTACCTTTCAAAACCGGCAGTGGATGCCTAAAACCAGGGATAGTATTTCCGTACTGTATATACTGTTTTTTCCCATACCTACCTATGATAAAGTTTTATTTATAAATTAGGTATGGTAAGATTAATAACAAATAATAATTATAACAATATACTGTAGTAAAAGGTATGTGAATGTGGTCTCTCTCTCCCAAAATACCTAATATTGCAGTCCTCATCCTTCTTGTGGTGGTATGAGATGATAAAACGCGGAAGTGATGAAATGAAGGGGGGTGAATGATGCAAGGGTTATGATTAGGTTCCATTGATCTCCTGCCCATAAGTCAGAAGGAGGATCATCTGCTTCCAGACCAAGGCTGACCTCCAGAAACTGGAACTACAAAAAAGCGGAAACCCCAGGTAGGGGGACTATCGTACTCCAAGTCTCCCCAATTTCATTTAATGTTTTTTTTAAAGATTTTATTTATTTATTTGACAGAGAGAGAACACAAGTAGGCAGAGAGGCAGGCAGAGAGAGAGGAAGGGAAGCAGGCTTCCTGCTGAGCAGAGAGCCCGATGTGGGACTCGATCCCAGGACCCTGAGATCATGACCTGAGCAGAAGGCAGCGGCTTAACCCACTGAGCCACCCAGGCGCCCCTCATTTAATGTTTTAGAGAGACTGACAGGGAGTGGAGCAGTTAAGAGTAGAAAAGGAGAAGAAAAGACAAAACATCATTATTTCAAGTGAAATTATCCCTGAAAATCCAGAAAAATCCACTAAAACCTGAAGAATTCAGAAAGGCGTCTTGAAGAAAGATGTATTTTTTAAAATAAATTATATTTTATTGCAGAGGTTGAGCCAATGGTAAGTCACTGAATTACTTTTTTTTTTTTTTACATTTTATTTATTTATTTGACAGAGCACAAGCAGGGGGAGCAGCAGGCAGAGGGAGAGAGAGAAGCAGGTTCCCAGCTGAGCAAGGAGCCCAATGTGGGACTCATCCCAGGACCCTGGGATCACAACCCGAGCTGAAGGCAGCGGCTCAACCAACTGAGCCACCCAGGTGTCCCAAGGAAAGATATATTTGTGTGTACAAAGTGTTATGTGTGGGTAATAGAAAGAAGGGAACACATGAAAGAAGACTATAGCTTTTTCTCTATGCTAATATCAAAGACTTATGCTCTGTGGAAGAAAAGAAGATCCCATTCAATTGAAGAGGGAAGGCAAAAATTTGGTATATAGAGATTATATGATTGTGTACTTGGAGATATAAACTCAAATGAAAACTATTAATAACAATAAGAGAATGGCATAATTTGGGTACAAAATCAGTACACAAAAATTAGTGTTTTGGGGGGGCATTAAAGAAAAAAAATTAGGGTTTCCATATACAAAGAATCAGGTAGAAAATATAATAGAAATTAAAATATCCCATATATCATAGCACCAAAAAGAAATACTAACTAGGAAGAAACTAACAAGAAACGTTCACTTTCTTCTATTGGCCACTGGAGTACATAAAAGAAAACTTAAATCCCTGTTTGTAGATAAGAAGGCTCAATATAATAAAGATGTCAAATCTCTCTAATTTAAATTATAACATTAATGTAATCCTAATAAAACTTCCAAATGTATTTGAGAAGTACTTATTAGAAAATTGATTTTTTCTCTTTTCAATTTTTTATTTAAATCCTAGTTAGTTAACATACAGTGCAATATTGATTTCAGGAATAGAATTCAGGGGCACCTGGATGGCTCACTCAGTCAAGCATCCATTTCTTGGTTTCAGCTCAGGTCCGATCTCAGGGTCCTGGGATCCACTCCAGCGTTCCACTCTGCGCTCAGTGGAGAGTCTGCTTGAGGATTCTCTTCTTCTCCCTCTGCCCCTCTTCCTACTCACGGGCTCTTTCTAAAAGAAATTTTAAAATCTTAAAAAAGAAATAAATTTCAGTGATTCGGTGCTTACATACAACACCCAGTGCCCATCATAACAAGTGCCCTCCTAACCCATCACCCATCTAGCCCATCCACCACCCACATCCCTCCATCAACCCTGTTTCTTCTCTATTTTAAGAATCTCTTATGGCTTCTTTCCCTCTTTTTTCTTTTCCCCTCTCCCATATGTTCACCTTTTTTGTTTCTTAAATTCCCCCATAAGAGTGAAAATCATACGGTATTTGTCTTTTTCTGACTGACTTATTTTGCTTAGCATAAGACATCCTAGCTCCAGCCACATCATGGCAAATGGCAAGATTTCATTCTTTTAATGGCTGAGTAATATTCCATTGTATATATATACCACATCTTCTTTATCCATTCATCAGTTGATGGACATCTGTGCTCTCTCCATGGTTTGGCTATTGTTGATAATGCTGCTTTAAACATTGTGGTGCATGTACCCTTTTTAAACCGTATTTTTCATCCTTCGGGTAAATACCCAGTAGTGCAGTTACTGGATTGTAGGATAGTTCCTATTTTTAACTTTTTGAGGATACTCCATACTGTTTTTCAGAGTGGCTGCACCAGTTTGCATTCCCACCAACAGAGCAAGATGGTTCCCTTTTCTTCGCATCCTCCTCAATATCTGTTGTTTCTTGTGTTATTAATTCTAACCATTCTGGGGACGCCTGGGTGGCTCAGTTGGTTGGACAACTGCCTTCAGCTCAGGTCATGATCCCGGAGTCCCAGGATTAAGTCCCGAATTGGGCTCCCAGCTCCACGGGGAGTCTCCTTCTCTCTCTGCCCTTCTCCTCACTCATGCTCTCTCTCACTGTCTCTCTCTCAAATAAATAAATAAAATATTTTAAAAAAAATTCTAACCATCCTGACCAGTGTAAGGGGGTATCTCATTTTGGTTTTTATTTGCATTTCCCTGATGATGTGTGGTGTTGAGCATTTTTTCATGTGTCTGTTAGCTGTCTGGATGTCTTCTTTTAGAAAAATGCCTATTCATGTCTTCTGCCCATTTCTTAACTGGATTATTTGGTTTTTGGGCATTCAGTTTAATAAGTTCTTGGTTTTGGATAGTAACCCTTTATCAAATATGTCATTTGTAAATATCTCCTCCCATTCCATAGGTTGCCATTAGATTTGATGACTGTTACCTTTGCTGTGGAAAAGCTTTTTATCCTGATAAAGTCCCAATACTTCACTTTTGCTCTTGCTTCCCTCACCTCAAGTCATGTATCTAATAAGAAGTTGCTCCAGCTGAGGTCAAAGAGGTTGCTGCCTGTATTCTCCTCTAGGATTTTGATGGTTTTCTGTGCCACATTTAGGTTTTCCATCCATTTTTAATTTATTTTTCTACATGGTGTAAAAAAGTGATCCAGTTTCATTCTTCTGCATGTCACTGTCCAGTTTTCCGAACACCATTTGTTGAATAGACTGTCTTTTTTCCATTGGATATTCTTTCCTACTGTGTTGAAGATTAGTTGACCACAGGGTTGAGGGTCCATTTCTGGGTTTTCTATTCTGTTCCATTGATCTATGTGTCAGTTTTTGTGCCAGTACCATACTGTCCTCATGATTACAGCTTTGTAATACAGCTTAAAGTCTGGAATTGTGATGCCTCCCACTTTGCTTCTCTTTTTCAACATTACTTTAGCTATTTGGAGTCTTTTAAGGTTCCATACAGATTTTAGGATTGTTTGTTCTAGCTCTGTATACAATGCTGGTGTTATTTTGATAGGGATTGCATTGAATGTGTAGATTGCTTTGGATAGTATAAACATTTTAACTATGTTTGTTTTCTAATCCATGAGCACGGAATGTTTTTCCATTTCTTTGTGCCCTCTTCAATTCCTTTTTTAAATTTTATTTATGCTTTTTCCTTTTTTAAATTTAAATTCAACTAATTAACGTATATTATTAGTTTGAGTAGAGGTCAGTGATTCATCAGTTTTAATAACACCCAGTGCTCATTACATCACATGCCCTCCTTAATGTCCATCACCCAGTTATCCCATCCACCCACCCCCTCAATTTCTTTCATAATTGTTCTATAGTTTTCAGAGTACAGATCTTTTACCTCTTTAGTTAGTCTTATTATTAAGTATCTTATGGGTTTTGGTGCCATTATAAATGGATCAATTCCTGATTTCTCTCTCTGCTGCTTCATTATTGGTGTATAGAAATGCAACACATTTCTGTATGTTGATTTTATATCCTGTGACTTTGCTGAATTCATGAATCAGTTCTAGCTATCTTTTGGTTGAGTCTTTCAGGTTTTTTACATAGAATAACACATCATCTGTGAAGAGTGAAAATTTGACTTCTTCCTTGTCAATTTCAATGCATTTTATTTCTTCTTCTTGTCTGATTGGTGAGGCTAAGACTTCCAGTATTACATTAAGTAGTAATGGTGAGAGTGTCTTGTTCCTAACCTCAGAATAAAATCTCTCAGTATTTCCCCACTGGGAATGATCTTAGTTGTGGGTCTTTCGTATATGGCCTTTATGATGTTGAGGTATGTTCCATGTATCCCTAACTCTGTTGAGGGTTTTTATCAAGAATGGATGCTATAGGGACACCTGGGTGGCTCAGCTGGTTAACCACCTACCTTCAGCTCAGGTCATGATCTCAGAGTCCTGGGATTGAGCTTTGACTCCATATTGGAGTCTGCTTCTCCTTCTCCCTCTGCCCCTCCCCCCATTCCTGTGTGCACTTTCTCTCTCAATTAAATAAATAAAATCTTTTTTTTTAAAGATTTTATTTATTTATTTGACACAGAGAGATCACAAGTGGGTAGAGAAGCAGGCAGAGAGGGGGAAGTAGGCTCCCCGCTGGGCAGAGAGACCAATGCGGGGCTCAATCCCAGGACCCTGAGATCATGACCTGAGCCGAAGACAGAGGCTCAACCCTCTGAGCCACCCAGGCGCCCCTAAATAAATAAAATCTTTAAAAAAAAAAAAAAGAGTGTATGCTGTATTTTGTCAAAAGCTTTCTCTGCATCTATTGAGAGGTTCAAATGGTTCCTATCCTTTCTTTTATTAGTGGTGCATCACATCAATTGATTTGTGAATATTAAACACCCCTGCAGCCCAGGAATAAATCCCACTTGATTGTGGTAAATAATTCTCTTAATGTACTGTAGGATTTGATTTGCTTGTATCTTGTTCAGAATTTTTGTACCCGTGTTCACCAGGGATACTGGCCTGTAATTCTCCTTTTTAATCAGGTCTTTGGTTTTGGAATCATGCTGGCCTTGTAGAATGAGTTTGGAAACCTATTTTTTTGAACAATTTAAGAAGAATAGGTATTAACTTTTCTTTAAATGGTTCCTCATCCCCTCACTTTCAATCTGCAGGTGTCTTTAGTCTAAATGAATCTCCTGTAGGCAGCATATGGATGGGTCTTGGTTTTTTTTTTTTTTAATCCATTCTGATGTCTTAGGTCCTTTGATTAGAGCATTCAGAGTGATTACTGAAAGATACGAATTTAGTGCCATTATGTTACCTGTAAAGTTGGTGTTTCTGGTGAGGTTCTCTGTTCCTTTCTAGTCTTTGTTGCTTTTGGTCTCTTGTTCCCCACTCAAACCATCCCCTTTAATGTTTCTTGCAGGACTGGTTTGGTGGTCATGAACTCCTTTAGTTTTTGTTTGACTTGGAAACTCCTTATCTCTATTCTGAATGACAGCCTTATTATAAAATATTCTTGGCTACATATTTTTCCCTTTAAGCACGTTGACTATATCCTGCCACTCCCAACCGACCTGTCAAGTTTTTGTGGATAGATCTGCTGTGAACCTAATCTGTCCTCACTTGTAGATTAAGGACTTTTTGTCCCTTGCTGCTTTTAGGATTCTTTCCTTGTCTATGTATTTTGTGAATCTGACTGTGATATGTCTTGGGGATGACCAGCTTTTGCTGGATTTAATGGGAGTTCTCTGTGCTTCTTGGATTTTGATGTCTATGTCCTTCCCCAGATTATGGAATTTTTCAGCTGTAATTTGCTCAAATAAACCTTCTGCCCCTTTTTCTCTCTCTTCATCTTCTGAGACTCCTATGATACAAATGTTATTGTGTTTGAAGCAGTTGCTGAGTTCCCCAAGTCTACCTTTGTGATCTAATACCTTTCTTTCTCTCTTCTTTTCAGCTTCTTTATTTTCCATACTTTTATCTTCTATATCACTGGTCTTGCATCTTGGTTGTAGCATTTTTAATTTCAGCCTGACTAGACTTTAGGTCTTTTATCTCTGCAGTAAGGGATTCTCTAGTGTCTGCTATGCTTTTTTCAATCCCAGTTAGTATCCTTATAATTGTTGTTTTAAATTCTAGTTCAGACATCTTACTTATATCTGTATTGATTAAATCCCTGGCTGTTACTTCTACTTCTTGTCCTTTCTTTTGGGGTGAATTCCTCCATCTCGTCATTTTATCCAGAAACAAACAACTATATACTAGGTGTGTTTTGGTCTGCCAATAAAAGAAGCTGGATCCAAAAAATATATACAAGTAAATTTTTTTAATTAAAAAAAAACAAAAATAAAAAGGAAGCTAGATCCTATTTCCCCTAGAGCTTAAGCTTTGCAGAACTCTATGTTTAGTAGACTTGGAGCATATGAGGGGTTTGTGCTAGTCTTCTGGGGGAAGGGCCTGTTGTGCTGATTCTCAGGTGGACTTGCCTGCAGGGCACAACGGGGCAAGTTTTGGTGTAAGTGGCTGCAGTCTCCACTTGGTGACACTATTTAGCTCACAGAGGTCCATCAGTGATGATGAGCAATAGGCAAAATGGCCTCTGCCTGCTCTCTGGTCTCCAGAGCAGAGAGCTTGTGCCCACCACCCTTTGGGAAGTACTCACAGCAGAGCAAACAATCACCCTTCTTGTGTCCCCAGCTTCCATCAGATTCCTGCCTTTGCCCTGTCTGTGCCTGAGCTGTCTGCCTGCCAGGCAGCATAGTACTCCTGTGTTTTATCTCAGGTGCAAGGCTGGGTTTCTAGACTCCAAATTTAGGGACTTGCACACCTTGTGGCCCCACAGTGATCCTCTGGGAGAGGGTTTCACCAGGCTTTTGCCATTTGCCAGCCCATCCCAGGAAAGCATTTGCATGACCATGCAGTGGTTCAGAGTTTATGGCAAAGTGGAGCAGAAAGCCAATACCCAGGCTTGCTACCCTCTGCTGTCATCCCTGCTCCTATGCCTGGGAAAGGCACAATACATTAGTGCCACCCATCCTTTTGTCCCCAGAGAGGCCTTGCCACCACTCCCGAATGCACTCCAAGTAGGGGAACTGTTTCTCCCCGTGCAAGGCAGGGGATTCTCAGACCACACTGTCCATTCCAGGGTTTCCTCCCTCTTTCCCCACAGAAGCACTGCTAAGCCAGTCATGGTCCTGGTGCGGCAGACTTCTAAAACTTCAGGTTTTGCACTCTGCTGCTTATAATACCTTGCAGTAGTCTCTGTAAGAAGGGTTCCCTCCCCTCCACAGCACCCACAGTTCTTAATCCCCCCCAAATCAACTCTCTGCACTTCCTACCTTTCATGAGGTTGTTCCTTTTCTACTTCTAGACTTGCAATTTTGTTCTCTGCCTTCAGATTTACTCCTTGAGTGCTTGGAATGACTTGCTATTTATCTAGCTGTGTTTGAGGGACAAGGCAAGCTTAGAGTCCCCGTACTCCACCATCTTAACTCCTCCTCCTAGAAAAGTTGATTTTAAAGTCATATGAAATTGGGGTCCCTTGGTGGTTCAGTCAATTGAGCAACTGACTCTTGGTTTCAGCTCAGGTCATGATTTCACAGGATCTTTAGATCAAACTCCATGTCAGACTACAAGCTCAAGTGAGGAGTCTGCTAAAATTTCTCTCTCCTCCTCCCTCTGCCCCTGCCCCATGCTTGATCTCTCTCTCTCTCTCTCTCTCTCTCATAATCTTTTTTTTTAAATAAAGTTATATGGAATTATAAACTTTCAATAAAATCAAAAGAAATAACTTTAAAAATTCCCTAATCTTATGGTCGCAGATATCATCAATGTTGTAAAATTCACTAAGAGTCCAAAACAATGAAACCCATCTATTTAAAAACTTACCCCAAGACATGTTGTCAAAAAATTTTAGATCACTGGGCACCTGGGTGGGTCAGTGGGTTAAGCCTCTGCCTTCAGGTCAGGTCATGATCTCAGGGTCCTGGGATCGAGCCCCACATCGGGTTCTCTGCGCAGCAGGGAGCCTGCTTGTGATCTCTCTTTGTCAAATAAATAAATAAAATCTTTTTTTTTTTAAATCTCAGATCAGCTGTATATGCAGATCATAAATGCTTCCAGAAAAGAAATATAATCAACTATAAAAGGCTATTCTGGTTGCTAAAAGACTGGTGCAATGCCTTAAAAAGCTCTGAAAATAAATATTTTCAGTCCAGAATTTCCAGCCAAGCCAGGAATCTAGGACAAAAAGTTTGTCTCCTGTTTTTTTCTTAAGAAGGTACTAGGGACAGGGCTTAGCAGAATCAGGGAGTAAGTCCAAAACAAAGAGTTCATGGAATTCAGAAACTCACAGATTTAACCTAGGAGAGCAGCAATACAATCCCAGGTTACTGACTGTGCAGTCGGCTTAGAAAGCAATCCAGCCAGATAGAGCAGAAGGACTCAGTGCTTGGAAAAAAGTAGACTCAACTGGACTTGAGGAACAAAATGAGACTATGCATACGAGAAAGTAGGCAAAGTAAAGTTGAGGTAACTGTTCTCTCTGGGGGGAACATAAAGCTGTACAAGAAAGAAAGTATAATTCTATTTAACTTATAGTGAGCAAGGGGTGCCAGGGTGGTGAAGCCAGTGGGTCACCCAACTCTTAGCTTTGGCTGGAGCCATGAGATTGATCACCATGTCAGGCTCCATGCTCAGCGTAGAGTCCGCTTGAATTTCTCTTTCCCTCCTCTTGAGCCCCTCCTCCTTCTAAAATGAATAAATAGGTGGAGCGACCTCCGGGCAGCTGGAACAAGAGTGCGGAGGAACTACTACTCCCAGAGCAGCCCAGGCCTCCCATCTCCGCCCCGCAGCGCGCTCTGGCACCAAGAACTACAATTCCCAGCATGCCGTGAACTTGATGGCTGGACTTCTTGGGCAGCCTCCAGCCCTCCCACTCGCCCAGCTCTCAAGCCCGGTCCCCGCCGCTGCACCCGCCGCGTGCGGAGCGGGGACGCGAGCCATGGAGGAGACACCACCCCCAGGCTGCAGCGAGACACACCTGGAGAAGTTAACGCTGGGAATCACCTGCATATTAGAATCTTCCCCAGGTGTGACAAAGGTGACTATCGTAGAGAAACCACCTGCTGAACGTCATACGATTTCTTCATGGGAACAAAAAAATAACTGTGTGCTACCTGAGGATGTGGAGAATTTTTACCTGATGACCAATGGCTTCCACATGACATAGAGTATGAAGCTGGATGAGCACACCATTCCATTGGGCAGCATGGCAATTAACAGCATCTCAAAACTGACTCAACTGACATGGGGAGATGGAGAGGAGAAGGGAGTTGAGGGAAATTGGAAGGGGAGATGAACCATGAGAGACTATGGACTCTGAAAAACAATCTGAGGGTTTTGAAGGGGCAGGGGGGTGGGAGGTTGGGGGAGCCAGGTGGTGGATATTACAGAGGGCACGTATTGCATGGAGCTCTGGGTGTGGTGCATAAACAATGAATTCTGTTACACTGAAAAGAATTTTTTAAAAATTAAATAAATAAATAAATAAATAAATAAATAAATACTGACTGACTCAACTCAACCATGTCTTCTATGTATTCACTCCCTAATGCACCAACTCTGGCAGACCTGGAGGATGATGCACTTGAAGCCAGTGAGAACCAGCCAGAGAAGCCTCACTTTGATTCTCGCAGCGTGATATTTGAGCTGGATCCTTGCAATGGGAATGGGAAGGTTTGCCTTGTCTACAAAAGAGGGAAACCAGTGTTAGCACAAGACACTGAGATCTGGTTCCTAGACAGAGCATTATACTGGCATTTTCTCAAAGACACTTTCACCGCTTACTATTGCCTGCTCTTCACGCACCTGGGCTTGCCGCAGTGGAAGTACGCCTTCACCAGCTATGGCGTTAGCCCACAGGCCAAGTAGCGGTTCAGCATGTATAAACCCATCACCTACAACACAGACCTACTTGCAGAAGAGACCAACTCCTTCGTGAACAAGCTGGATCCCAGCAAAGTGTTCAAGAGCAAGAAAGTGCCCCCACGTCCTCCCTCCACCTCTAAATCCTCTTCTAGCCCTGGAAACCCTGTCTGGAAATGAGCACCCCTACCTCCCTGCGAGTCCCTCAGCAATGATTTCCATACACAGATGGCCTAAGCCTCAGATTCTATGAGTTGTACCATAGCTCTCTTCCCATCAGAGTGAGCCAAATCCTAGGCCTTCTACTTCCGTTGGCATTAGCCAGGAGTTCAAGGGCATTCTCAGGTCTCCTCCAAAGTCCTTTCCTCATCTCTTCCCTCTGAAAAAGAGTTTCAGAACTTAAGTGTTAAATAGAGCTGTTAAGAGCTTTCCTCTCTTTCCACCCTCAAGCCTATACACACGTCAGCAGTGATGAGAGAAATCCCCTGAAGAAACCACTGATTTTGACCCATGAGGCATTAGAACTGTGCTGTTCAATTAGTAATCACTAGCCACAGTGGCTGTTTAAACTATATTAAAAATTCAGTTCCTCAGTTGCATTAGCCACATTATAAGTATCCATGTGGCTAGTAGCTTCTGTATTCAACAACAGAGATAATGGAACATTTCCATCATCACAGAAAGTTCTGTTGAGCAGCACTGCATTAGAATATTTTCATGCTGCCCTTATTCAGTTCAGCTCATTTTTGTTAGAAAATGTGGATACCTTGATTTGATGGGTCATAATGTTCCATGAAAATTCTTAAAGATACAGTTGTATATGTTCTTTTTATTTTTCCTAATTCTCTCTGGTCCTTTTTCAGCTTCCTATAAAAGTTTGTTGTTTCCAAAATATAATATAATATAATATAATATAATATAATATAATATAATATAAATAAAATGAATAAATAAATCTTTTTAAAAAGGATTAACTTTATAGTGAACAAAACTTCCATCATTATAATGACTCATACAATTTGCTCACATAACTAAAAATACTGCTTTATTTTGGGAAGATGAAGGAGGGGAGGAGGGTTAAAAGAACTAATTCCACATCTGTTCCAAAAGGAAGATGATAAATACAACTAAAATTGATCAGTCAGTAAATAGCAGCATAAGCATATATCAAACAATACGGCAGATACAATGTGGGATAGGCAAAGTTTGTAGGGTTAAAAGTGACTCTCGCTGGTTAACAAGACTGCGAGTGGGGAAGGATAAAATCAGGTGACTATTTTTTCATTTAAAACCTACTTGTGGGGGCGCCTGGGTGGCTCAGTGGGTTAAAGCCTCTGCCTTCGGCTGGGGTCATGATCCCAGAGTCCTGGGATCAAGCTCCACATCGGGCTCTCTGCTCAGCAAGGAGCCTGCTTCCTGTTCTCTCTCTGCCTGCCTCTCTGCCTACTTGTGATCTCTGTCTGTCAAATAAATAAATAAAATCTTTAAAAAAAAAAAAAAACCCTACTTGTGGGGGCACCTGGGTGGTTCAGTGGGTTAAGCCTCTGCCTTCGGTTCAGGTCATAATCTCAGGGTCCTGGGATCAAGTCCCTCATCAGACTCTCTGCTCTGCAAGGAGCCTGCTTCCTCTTCTCTCTCTCTCTGCCTGCCTGTCTGCCTACTTGTGATCTCTGTCTGTCAAATAAATAAATAAAATCTTTAAAAAAACAACAACAACAAACCTACTTGTGGTATCTAAATTCTTTAACTATGATTTATTTATTTTAATTTAAATAATTATATAACCAGGAAAAAATCTGGAAAATCAGAGATATGGAGAGTCCAGACCTACCAGGAAAATAGTATCTAGTTATAGCAAGTTAAATATTAGGACTAGCAAAGAATAATGCAAGAGAATACAAAGTTGGACCTAACTACAGAAATTTAATAAGTGACAAAGGTGACTTTTTTTTTTTTTTTTACAAAGGTGGCATTTCTACTCAATGAGGAAACATTGAGATATTCCGTAAATAGTGCTGGGGAAGCTGGATAGCCATCTAGAGAAAAACACTCACACTGCTCTTTATATCAAATCCCAAATGAAACAAAGGTTTAATTTGTTTTAAAAAATAAAGTCATAAAAGTTTAAAAACACATTTTTAAAAAAGAACATTTTATGATCTTAGATTAAGGATAGCCTATGTAGATTAGCCACTAAATCATGAAACAATTGAGACAAGACTGATTTGGCAGACGTTATTTATCTCCCTCATAGCCACATTCCTTTTCTTCCTTACTAACAAGCCTTGTTTTAAAAGTGAAAGGAAATGAACAATGTACCTATAAGTCATAGTCTTCTTTCTAGATTCCCTTGGAGATCTGACCAATGAGATATAAGCAGAAACAGTGACTTTTGGGAAAGCTTTTCTTCCCTGGTACAAGGCCAATGTCTTTATTTTTTGCCCTTTTCACTCTGGAACGGAGATGGGAGCACTGGAGGTGCACTGTCCAGCACCATGTGGTTACCACCAGAGTGATGAAGACTGTGTACTAAGAATAGTGAAATAGAAAAATGGAGAAAGCCTGATTCCCTAATGGCTTTGGAACTGCCTATCTCCAGGCTTCATACTTGCTAAAAGACAATTTTTTAGATAAGGTTAAGTCATGGCTCTCATACAGTATAAAAGTGAACACATGTTAAATATTTTATTTAATGCATCAAAGAGGAAACAAAGAGGAATCCAAAGAACACATTTTTAGATCAGGAATACTGAAATAAATGTACAAACTGGCTTTCCCACAGGGTCAGGACAGTGGGAGAGAGTTGTTTCTCTACTGGACATCATTCATTTGCATGTCTATAGGCTATAATTATTTTTCTTTGCTATCAGTTATCTAAAACTTAGATATTAGAATCAGATAATGCAGGAAGATGTGCTCTAGACAATGCAGTTTTCCCTGCATGTTCCATGAAACAAATATTCCCCCATCTGTTCAAACTGTTGGCTCTTTATTTCCCATAGCTAAATACAGTCCTAGTTGATACAACTGATAAATTTGACTACATATAAAAATTG